GATTGTATGTAGCTATGTGAGTGTTTGTGATTCTTTGTACATTCTACATTTATAAAATCCTCAAAGGTGAAAAAAAATCCCCCTCCCCCAATGCTACCCCTGGCCCAAACAAATTTAATTAAGAAAGGCAGGAAAAAAAAACATTCTTTTGGTAAAGACTTGGGAACTGAGGCCAACGTCTGTATATTACACGTGGGCTCTAAGAGTTCAGAAAACATGGCTTTTTGTTAGTATGAGAGTTTTTAACCTTTTAACTTTTTATTTTGAGGTAATTAGAGGCTCATAAGAATTTGCAAAAATATTACAAGAGGTCCTATGTTCCCACTACCCAGCTTTCCCCAATGGTAACATCTTACATAACTATAGTACACTATCAAAACAAGGAAATCGACATTGCCACAATACAATTAAGTAGATTCTATACCTTACTGGGACTTCACCTGTTTGGTTGCACTGCACAGCCTGCAGGATCTGAATTCCCCAACCAGGGTTGAACCTGGGCCACAGCAGTAAAAGCTGAAAGCGCCGAATCCTAACCATTAGACCACCAGGGAACTCCCTTTAATGTCTTTAAGTTATAAAAGCAATTTGCTCATCAATGAATTAATGGATAAACAAGAAGTGGTACATCCATCCAAGGGAATATTTCTCCACCATAAAAAGGAATGAAGTACTGATACATACTACAACATTTTGAACACATTTTGCTAAGTGAAAGAAGCCAGATACAAAAGGTTATACATTGTATGATTCCACTTATACGAAATGACCAGATTAGGTAAATCCTAGAGATAGAAAGGAGATTGGTGGTTTTCAGGGGCATTGGGGAAAGGAGATGGGGAGCATGTTCCCATGGGAATGGGAACCGTTACCACAACAGTTATGGGTTTCCTTATGCCATGATGAAAATGTTTTGGAACTATATAGAGGTGGTAGTTGCACAACACTGTAAATGCACTAAATACCACTGGATCGTTCACTTTGAAATGGTCAGTTTTATGTTATTTGAATTTCATCTCAATAAAAACATTTTAAAAGCAATTTGCTTGTTGTAGGGAAGTCCAAACATAAAAGTATATGCAAAAATTGACAATTTTTTCTTCTCCCAGCTGCTCGCCTCTCCACATCCAATCCCACCGCACAAACACACCTTCCCTTAACTGCTTAATAGGTAACAATCCATGTTTTAAAAAGCTTTATAACATACAGAGAGATACATATGTTTCCTTCTCTCCTGAATGTTTACTGAGCACTTTATCCATGTCAGGCAGCCAATGTTGTACCTGATGGGAAACTCCATGTTGAATAAGACAGACTGATGGAATTAATTTTCTAGTAAGAGGTGGGCAGTAAGCATGGGAATGAATATGAATTTCAGATTGTGAAAAAATGTGAAAAAATAAAAGTAGATAAGGTGGTAGAGAGTGATGTGGGTTGGCGGAGGGCCAGGGTGGCTAGGAGAGGTCTCTGAGCTGAGGACACAACATGTGAGCTGAATGACAACAAGCTAGAGAAGTGAAGATCTAGG